GGTGGCCATATGTGTGTTCTAAGAGGTAGGACTTAAGATATCTCGAGACAGGGTGAGACAGAATGCTGGAGGGAGAAAGTTCAAGATGTTGGGATCGCAGGAACCGAAGGCTTGGCAGCTGGTGGTAGGAAAGGTAACCAAACGTATTCACCTCTCTTGTGGCTCATGGAGTCGTAGGATAGAGATCATTTTCCCAACAGTTGCCCACAATTATTTCTGGTTGTTAGCTTGGCCACCTTGGGGAAATTGCTGACCTAAAGTGAGCTGCTGCTGAACAGGAAACCTAGAAGGTGGCATTTCATCCATCTTTGGCTCTCATTTATACGGTTTTAAGAGTTTCATCAGTTCTTTTCAGAGCACCAAATGGTTACCATGTTCGTCTATAAAATACAGTCACTACACTTTACAGTAAATTTTGTGAAGTGCTTCGAAATGTTCTCCTGACGTGAAAGGCGCCATATCAAAAGCAGCAATTATTATTATTTGGCTTAGCAACAACTTTCATCTGTTCACTTAACGGCTAATGTATTGTATAATAGAAATAATCCTTGCATTTCATATAGCTCCTTATCAAGTCTTTGAGACGTCTCAAAGCGCTTTACAGAACAAAGTGAATTGATTGTATATTTTGCGGGTGAAACATGGCAGCCAATTGCACAAGCAGAGTCTCACAAACAGTCGTGGATTGAGTGACCAAGTAAATTTTTTTTTTGAAGGGATTATTACCCCCGGAAAGTGATCCACCAATCACTAACAACCGGGTTTCTGCTAAGCAAACGTAGGCGTGTGGAGTAAGGAAACTTGCCCAAGGTTTCGCCATGTCCGGGAATCACACCCAGATCTCTTGCTTGGGAGGGGAGTGCTCTAACCACTGAGCTACAGGACTCCACAATAATAGAATTCTTTTAAAACATGAAGAGTGCTGCATGTGCGGAACCTGTTGCTGAACTTTAGATATGCAATTTAAAAAGTGAAACTTTGCGGTTGTATGAAAAGACGTCATCAAAAACCTGCTCCAGTTTCCCGGGCTTGGTTTGCATTTTACTTTGTACATTACATAAAAGATTCTTTGAAAAAATAGCAAAAGCTGCTAACAATCTTTAATGCAGTTTGAATTTTCTGTACAGCTTTCCAGTCTACATCACAACAATATACACTAGATAGATCAATGTGCAGTTGTTTCCTACTGAAACAAAATGGGAACAGTTAACCCTAATCGACAAGCATGCAGCGCAAATCCACTGCCTGGGTTTTACGCAGTCCGCTGTCTGCTTTATACACTAACATAACTATATATTAGAAGCTGAACACTAGCTTAATAAGCAACCCCCAACCCAACTTCAATATAGGTAGGCACAACTCCATTTAAGTAACATGACCATTAAAATTTATTTAACAATATATTTACACATATTTACATATTAATCAACAGGTAAATATTAAAATAAACAATTTACACTTTTAGAACTATAATTGAAAAAGCATTTGTGCTGAAAAAATAGGTTCTGCTGCAGAATTTTTTTTCAGGGAGTGGAGAAGGAAACAGGATGTCAAATATAACCTAGGTATCGCATGCAGTTACGTCATCATTTTAAGTCCAAACATTTTTTTGCTGCAATGTGAAAAAGCAAACCCAAACAGCATGCCCTAACAAACAAGATCAAACCACAGCACGCTACAATCAATATAAAACCCAACTATGAATTGCAACTTTGGTCCATTGAAACATTAGACAATTAACAGGCTATACAATCAAAATAACTATAGATTTGTTTTGTACAGGTTTTAAACAATATTGTTAAATACAATGTTATTTACAACTGCGCAATGATATGTATAAAATAACTTATTCTTTTTTTAAAAAAACAAAACAAAATAATACATCTGTGCAGAATTGTCCCCAAAAGAAAAAAAGATATTCTGTACAGCATTTAAGATTACAAACAGATATTCATAAAGTGAAAGATGTATTTTTAAAATCTCTCTAAATGGTCTATTCGTTTTAAAATTCAATTAAATCTTAATCAGGCTACAGTACTCGCCTCTTTATGGCAGTGAACTAATAGCTCAAGGTGTATTAGAATCATAGAATTATACAGCACAGGAGTCCATTCAGCCCGTTGTGTCCATGACAGCTCTTGAAAGAGCTGTCCAAATTGATCCCACTCCCCCGTTCTCTCCCCATAGTCCAGCAAATTTGTCCTCCCCAAATATCTATCCACTTCTTTTGAAAGTTGTTATCGTATCTGCTTCCACCACCCTTTCAGGCAGTGCAATCCAGATCCGAACAACTCCCTCAAAACAATTTCTCCCCATCTCCCCTCTGGTTCTTTAATCTGTGCCCTCTGGTTACCGACCCACCAGTGGAAAGTTTCTCCCTGTTCTTATCAAATCTCTCATAATTTTGAACACCTCTATTAAACTTCCTCATAACCATCTCTGCTCCGAGGAGAACAAAACCTAGCTTCTCTAAGTCTCCCCACATAACTCAAGTCCCTCATTCCTGGTACCATCCTGGTAAATCTCCATTGCACTCTCGCAAAGGCCTCGACATTCTCCCTAAAGTGGGTACCCAGATTTGAACTCAATATTCTGTTTAGGGTAGACCTACTCATTAGACCCTAGTTATAGTGCTGCTTGGGAGCCAATCAAATAGTCGGTTGTAGCAAGAATGGCATGAAATTTGGTGCAGAGGGAGAGGGACATTATGTTATTAATGTACATTAGGTCTATTAATGTATACTGTGATATACCTACACCTTCTCCTGTTGGCTAAAGTATTTTGCTTGACCGGAACAGTTAACAAGACACCTAGATAATTTCTTGGTCAACTACATTTTTTCCCCCCCAAGTTGTACAATTGTCCCTAGCTAAAGTAGTTCACTTTCTTGCCCCAGCTGATCCAACTGAAATCAGCAAACAAGCACACTTCCTGTGTACGTTAGTCAAGATTGGGATTTGAACTTCCTAGTTAATAGCTTTATGCTCTAAACTTGCAATTGCTGGGATATTTTTCTCTTTTTTTTAAAAAAAAGCAAAATTATGGGATTCTAAAAATCCAAAGAGGGGCTGACAGAGCAGAGAAAGTATTGAATGAAGCTGGGAGATTTTTTTTAAAAAGAGATCACAGTCAATTGTGAAAGTCAAGGGAAACAAAACACTGCAACTGAACTGCTTGTGGCACAGTAAATAGCTTAAAAAAAGTAACTGAAGTTATCAAAAATACAGAGAACAATTCTTTCCCTGTAGTGTGGAATCCGTGCTTGAACACAATCCATGGAAGCCATATCCTCCTGCATCAGGTTTCTCCGAGACCGATGATACATGAAGGAGATTAGAAGTCTGGGAGCTGGTTCAGAGGCATGTGCCCAGGGAAAGTTCAGCATTGGTGATAAACAATACCCAGCAATCATGTCTCCTCTCAATCTTCTCTTTTCCAGCGTGAACATGCCCAATTTACTTAGTCTCTCCTCATAGTCCAGTTCCTCCATTCCCTCAATCATTTTGGTTGCCCTCCTCTGTATCCTCTTGATTTCTACAATATCCTTTTTGTACTGCGGTGACCAGAACTGTACACAGTACACTAATATAGTCTCACCAATGATTTATACAGTGGCAGGATTACCCCACTATTTCAGCTTGCTATTGATCTTTTGGTACATTTTAATATCAATTACTTTACTCACTGCCACATAACATTGTTGGGAGAGCTTTAATTTATTGTCATTCAGGAACCCCCCCCCCCCCAGTCTTTTTCATTTTCCATACATATTATTTCCCCTCAGTTCAAATAATAGTCCTTACTGGATTTTTTTGTCCCCATGTGAAGTACTTTACATTTCTCCACACTGAATTTCATCTGCTTAATTCCCATGTTCAAATCCTCCTGTAACCTATCTTGTTCAGCTTTGCAATCTACCACCTTCATTACCTTGGTGTCTGCAAATTTAGCCACTGTGCTTGCGATTCCTAGTTTCAGATCTATTGTAAAAATATTAAAACACACATTACTGGAGCAGCCCAGTGTAAGAGGAGTGGGTCTCAGGTTGTGTGTTCAAGCAAGTGTTTCTTACCACAGAAAAAGAACTGAGTTATAACAGTGTTGTATTTATTTTTAAATGCGAGAAGCTTGATTACTTGGGGCGGGACTGGAAATGCAATAATTTTAATTTATATAACGCCCTTCACACGGGATAACAAATTGGATTGACAGGGAGGTGCGAGGGCATGAAGGGATTTCAAAATGAGCGAGAGGATCTTGAAATAGATCTGATCTGTGATTGGGAGCCCGTGCAGCCTGGCAAGGACTGGTGTGATGGGGTACAGAGTTTTGACGGGGTGAATATCTAGGCGGTGGAGTTCTGAATTAATTGAATTTTGTTTATGGTGGAGCTGGGGAGACCAGCGAGGAGGGGATTTGAAAAGTCCAGCCGGGAGGTGACAAAAGGCGTGGACGAGGGTTCGGCTGCTGCGGGTGCGAGGTACGGACGGAGGCGGTCAATGCGGCTGAGGTGGAAAAAAAGTGGTCCTGGGCAGGAAACGGATTGGGGGGTGGGGGGGTAGAAAGGAAAGCTTTGGATCAAACCTGATGCCTAAATTGTGCACGGGTTTGGTGAGTCTGAGGGAGAGCCTGAGGAGGTTGAAGAGTTCGGAGCCGCAGGAAAGAAGATGTTGACCGGAGCCAAAGAGGAAGTTTAGCTGCAGTAAATTTGTGCTCATCCAGGCCTTGATATCAGTCAGACAAGCTGACAGGACATCAGCGGACTGAGAGTCACAGCTGGAGAAGAAGTAGATCTGGGTATCATCCGTATACATGTGGAAGTTGACCCCATGTCTACGGATGACATCGATGAGAGGGAGCATGGAAATTAGGAAAAGAACGGGGAAAGGATGGAGCCTTGGGGTACTCCGCAGGTGACGGGGCTGGGGACAAACCGTTTGCCGAGATATATTGTTGGCGGTTTTAAATAGCTAGTTTTAAAAATGAATCGATGAAACAATTCAGTAAAATTACTTATAATGGTCAAAATGAATGATTTCAACAAAAAGTGCAAGCATGTAAACAGACAAACTTTTTTAAATTCCAGCAGAAGTGCTCTTAACATTAACAATTTTGTTTTGAACGGAGCTAGGAAAAAAAAACAATACAATAATGTAGACAAAGCATTTTGTTCTTTCTCTGAAATGGTTTCACAAATTTTCACCTCTTAAATCAGAAGTGGGCTTTTAAATTTGAAAATGAAAGGTGTATTTTATTGGGAGCAAATGTTCAATAATAATTTAAATGAGGCAGCGCTCTGTGGGTGCCAGAGTAAGGTTCTACTGTACTATGAATTCTTCTTAGTTCAGAGTATCACTTGTCTACTTCCTCTATCAATTTGCAGCTTCCAGCGCTGCTGATGTGAACATAACAGTGTATGCAGCTAATGCCCCCATCTTGTAAACTTTAAAGTAAAGGCAGATAGTAGAGTGACTGACACCCATCTATCAGCTACAAGACTGTTATACTACTGAAATACAGTAGTGGTTACTGGTAAACAGTGATGGAAGTCACAGTGTGTTAGTGCTGAATCTCACATCGTTCTGCATCTATGGGACTGCACCATTGTTGCCACAGGCACCAGTATCCTCAGTTCCTTACTTCTCTTCAAAGTGCTCTGCAGCCAAGTACACAAGCCTCTTTGCGACCCTCCTGATACAATCGAGTATCGATTGTAACTAAACCACTATGTACTTGTTAGGGCCTCTGAAATACATGCACAATCATATTGGCGTCAACTCAAGGTCATCATTGACATCAACAAGAGGGACGTAAAACTCCGGAATTTCAAAAATGCTCAGAGATTTGTATGAAGAAGGATCAAGCTCCTGTAATTTAAGCTGCCATTCCAGTCTTTGCACTGCATTCAATGCTGCAGCTTCATGCTGCTGTCTCATAAGAAGGCATGTCTGCAATGGATTAAAAAAAATAGATGCAAGGTTAAAAGACAATTACAACAAAGGACACTTAATGCTGTTGGCAGTATAGAATTAACTTAAATCATGAGCCAGTATTCTATTTAAGCACTTTATACTAGACAAATGCAATGTTCTGGGAAATGATGTATAATTTTGATCAAGAACTATATTTAATTTTTATTGAAGTCAATTTTGGCAGAGATGTATATTCTTCAAATAGCATTCTCTACAAGCCTTCCCCCTGGACCTGCTTCGAATGCCAGTAATGGCCACATAGAGAGAAGAGAAACTGGCCAGTGTGCACCGGAAGCCACAAACACACAGCACTTTTGATAATCGCGGGTCCACAGGACACCAGTGTTATAAACAAACTTGTGGTCTAGCGAGGCGCCTTATAACAGGCGTCACCCTGCATCTTGATAAATAGAAATAATAAGCTAAAAGACAAACGGATAAGACAGAATATTTCGATTAACAGCCACAGCAACCACAGTACTTCACTGAACGTTACAACTATTTCATCTATCTTTAAGTGCAGTGCTTCACCACATAACAGAATTCAAGTACAGGAAATATTCTTTATTGTGCATTTGGAGTGTGTTGTTTAAATGTCTTCTGAAGGAAACTCACCTTTAATTTGACAAACTTATCATCAACATCCTGTAACCAGGACATGAACTGACGTGCATTAAATCGATCCCTCACCGATGTTTTGTTTTCATCCGCCTGGAGCAAAAACACGTTAAAACAGTTGTTTATTTTTTAAAAAATTGTCTTTCCAAGGATGTTATACTTCTCTGCAATTAAAATATTCTCCAAAGTTAGTTTGATTAGAATAAATTTTAATCTATTCTATCCAAACTTTCACCTCCCCAAAATGACGTCTTACCTGAGGATCCTGAGGCATATTGTATACTTCTGCATCCAGAAGCACAGTGCAGGCACTGAAAGGCAACGTCTGATTTGCTAACGTCCTGGCTGCACGGTAATGCACTCGCAAAACTTCCTGCTCATTTGACATAATGAGCTTTTCCTAAAGGTAAATGAAAAGGACTCATTCAGGACAACAACATTTATATAGCGCCCTTCACATAGGGTAGCATCCCGGAGTGCGTAGACTTGCCGCATAAGGTAAGTCACTTAACTGCATCTTCAGTAAAGGGAGTTGAGGTACAGATCAGCCATGATCTTATAGAATGGCAGAACAGGCTCGAGGGCTGAATGGCCTAAGCATGTTCCTATGTGCTGTTTTCACATTTACAGTTTACTATCTCACTAATCAGTTTGGAAGCTTTACATCACAAATGCATGCAACAATCTTACAGTATTTAAGGCAGTGCTCAAATTAAAAAATATCCATTCTGCAAAATGTTTTACTGTAATTTGTGTCTAAAAGGAGGAAATTACTTGTCAGGTGGTTACAAATAATAAAGTTGAATATAAAAGCTGGTCTGTTTATATACATGTACATACAGAACTAGGCAGTTTCAAGGCTTCTCATCATAACCCGCTATTGGAAAAAAAAACTTTAGTAAAATAAATTAAGTGTTTCTTTGGCCAACTTTGTGCAAAAACGAGATTTGAATCCCATTTTTTTTTACCCGTTCAATACTGTGCTGCAATCGAAGCTTCATTCGAATCACTTCCTGTTGCCTGAAGAGTTCTTTCAGTGGTTCTGACAGTGATGGAGGAGGTGTTATCTAAAAAGCAATCAGATGTCAGTCAATAGTCATACGTGCTACAAACATTCAGCAGTTCCTTTACTAAATAGAGTAGGAAGGGTAGAAAGCATTAGGTTTTTACGCATTAAAAATCTCTGGGTATACTCTGGGTCAAGATGACAATAATAAAAACAGACACACATGTTGCAGTTCCTGTAACGTATACCAGACCATTATTCGACAGCACCTTACAGAGCAAAATTAAGTTTATACGTAAGAGCCTACAAGCTGATCCCCATGCTCCAAGTACACTGCCCTTTTAATTTTCTTCTGGGATTGTGATCAAAAAGGTCATTGTATTGTGCATTTTGGCACCAAGTCCAAAGGGAAAAAATACGATTAGGAATGTGCAGCAAATTAAAATGGGTCACAAAAAGTTCACTTGGAAAGGCAACATGAAAAAGATTTTTGGCATGTTCAAGAGCAACATGAATAAATAAAAATATTACCACTTTCAGCCCATTTCACAAACATACCAAATTGCTTTTGATGACTTGGAGGTTACTTTTATACTTGTGTCACACACTGATAAAAGCAATGCATTTGTATATTTATATCTGTTTTAGTAATGCTGGACAACAAGGTGTGCAAGGAATACTAGATTATAAGAGTGAATAATGGTTAATTAATTTTCACAGTTTACTGTCCACCACCCAACCCCAACCTCAAGTTTTAAAAATATAATGGGTTTTAAAATCAATTGCAGCAAATCTTGAGCGAAGCTGAAGCCAGTCGAGTAACTTGCATTCTGACCTTACCTCCAGAAAGAGCTTTCAGGAGCGAGTCAGAAATATAATCAATGCCTCCAACATCCAATTTATGCTGCGCTTTTAGTATTGATTCCATGCAAAAACTGCGTCAATCCAACACTAACCAAGCAGCAGAAATGGTGCAGCCAACAACCATTGTAATTAGTGGCAAAAATCCCAAAACAATACCATACAAATGCATCCTAAATATACAGGTATGTGGCTCAGTAAATGCTTTGGCTGAAACAATTTTATTTGGGTATTTTATTACATGCATACTGTGTCGGAACAACAAAATCAAAATAGCTAAATACTGTAAGAGGGCTGTTCATTTAAGATAAAATTATTTTAGAAACAAAAGTTAAGAGTTGCTTAATTAAATAACATGTCTGATTCCGCTATTCCTTCTCCCAGGCAAGGAACATTAGTACTGTTTACTTATTACGGGAAACCTTGTTATAATGTGGCTCCCTGGGGTCAGCAGCTTAGAGGCTGTGTTATAAAGCAAGTGCAAAAAAAAAGTCAACTTCCGGGTCATCGGGTTTCTGCTAATGTCACGTCCTGTTCGTTTTGCATGTGCAAGAAATGTCACTGATGCGATTGGCTTTGTGAAGTGATGTCACTGGTGCTCTGCTCATGGCATCTATGCAAAGCATCCACAAAAGTGACAACGTTTTGCTCACAAAATACAGAGTCAATACACTTTACAGTATACTTTGTGAAGAGCTTTGAGACGTCTCGAAGATTTGATCAGGCACTATGTCAAATGCAAGGATTATTATTATAACTTCTGAACATAGTGCACGACATACTGCATCAATGGCAGCCTGACAACCCGGAAATTGATCACCTTTTGAATACAGGAAGTTGTCTAGTCAGCGTGGGAAGCAGGGTGCGCTCCCGATTAGTGAAGGCCCACAGATTCCCAATGCTTGTTCAGCTAGAACCACCCTATCCGTTAGGGCTTCAGCTTGCAGAGTTAACAGGAACGAATGGGAAGATGAAATATTGAATCCACTGATGTGGAACCGAGATAGGTTGGGACCTAAGCTAAGACCTAACAACAGAATTTTTAGCAACCAGAAATGGCCATTCATTATGGCCAAAATTCTCCAGCTCATGCACTTGTCTTTTCACCACAGCCATCAATGTCTTTTCTACAAAATATGTACGTCTCTTGAAACCATTGATACCATTCTCCTTGGAGGCTTTCACTTGGTAATTATAGTTTTTTTTATTTAGGACTATTCCACCCAACTTCCCTCCTAACTTCTCAGTTGTTGAATTTTGTCTCCCCAAATGTGAACCCATCAATACAGAGAAGTTTACACTGGTTTTAAATTGACTCAACTGGAACAAATCTGTGCAACTCTCATTAACTTCAATATTATGAATCTATTGCCAGATCATCCTGGATAAAACAAAAACATAGCATCAGTTTCAAGGAAGAGAAAACAGACATCAAACCCTCCTTTTTGGGACCCCCAAGAGCATTACATCATACTTGATTTGTTGGTAAAGATTGGAGAAACAGAGTTCCCATAATAATAATCGTTGCATATAGTGCCTTATCATGGCTTCCAGATGTCTCAAAGCGCTTCACAGAATATACTAGAAAGTGAATTGACTGTATAATCTAAGTGAAATCAGCTATCATCTTTTGTATTTGATTGGTAGCTCCTCAAATACTACTCTGATCCGTGTAGCTCAACACAGTACCACACAAAACAATCCATTTGCAGACATTGGTAACAGGGGAAAGAGAAAGAAATATAAAAAAATTAAAAGCAGAAGTATGTGAAATTAGCTTAATTTCTGTTATTACCCTACATTTGATGATAGGCAATGCTCATCTTATTAATAATAATCTTTGCATTTGGTATAGCCCCTTATGTCAGAAGGACGTATTATTTTATTAAGTATTGTTGTGCTATACCTGTACTCTGTTCAGACAACTTGTTGAATAAACCTGATTATCATTTGCCTCGAATCATTATGATCAACGTATTTTAAATTCCACTTTAATAATATTCTTTAGGCAACAATAATGAATACTTACGGTTGGAATGCAAAGTTTGCTCAAAGGGTTTCCATCCAGCAGGTAGGATCCAGTAAAAGTAACGTATTCGTCATAAAACTGTGGAGCCTGAGGAGTGACACTACACAGCACTTTACGCTTCTCTTCTATCTTCTTTCTAATATGAAGATATTCGTAGTAAGGGTTTCCCTTCTCTGAATGATAGGGTTGAATCTCTTCCAATTTTAAGGAGTCTACGATGGCTGCCAGTGACTGCTGGGTCTTCTCTTTAGCCTGCTGTATCGTAGACTTTACTTGAGCTGGATGTGGAACCCGGGGCATCTTTCGCCTATGTGGATGATGCCCTTGACCATCCTCCTCCTCTGTAAACTTTGATTTGCTTTTCATGGTAGTTGAGGATTCGGTCTCCTTGTCAGCTGCCTGTGTACAATTAACAGCAGTTTGCTTACTTTGATTGGCTATTAGGTTTGCTCGGTTACGAGTTATCCTCTGAGGGATATCTTGTTGTCCTCCGCAGTCAGCCTCGACATGCTCTTCTGATTCCTCTTTTGCTGTTTCAGTGGATTGTCTTTGTTCATCTGCTGCCTCACACATCATTGGAGTGTGACCTTCAGCAGGAGCAGACTCTTGAGAAACCTCCATCTCAGGTGACGAATCTTGCTGTTGAGCTTTACTTTCTATGACAGGAGCTTGCTCACTTGTTGACATTTCGTTTGAATGTTCATTGCAAACCAGTGGTTCAAGTGGCTCTACTGGTGGATCACATTGCATTTCATCAGCTGCATCTGCTGGCTTACTTTCTAATGTTGAGCTTTCTTCACAACACATAGCCTCCTGGCTGGTTGAGTTAAGATTTTGTGTGTCTTCCTCCGTCTTTTCTTCAGGTTTATCCAAAGTATTTTTTATGACGCAGGTTGAGCTTACAGGGCTTTCACTTGCAGTGCTGCTGTCTGGTAATATGGTGGACAATAGAGAGGAACTTGCTTCCAATCCTTTCATTTCATCCGGTTTGCAATAATTTGACACATCTTCAACACTGTCCACAGATTTTTGATTTACAAGTTCAGCACCTGTGCAAGGCGTAGGAGTAGCAGCCTTCTCGCCAATCAATTCCACATCCTCCGAGACTGGTTGGCATGAAGCTGAAGTCTGATCCAGATCTTGTACAGTCTGATGAGATGAATCTTCTTGAACTCCAGACTTTGGACCAGGAACGATTTGAGGAGCGCTCTCGATGTCCACCGATGGCCGTGTAGAAAAAGAATTGGAAGGATGAGGAGGTGAAAAACAAGATTGTGTCTGTGGAGGATTTGTAACTTGGGAAGATTCATTGCTAAGTCGATGAGGAGTCTTCAATAATGGCTCTACTGGAAGTTGATCAGAGCTATCACATTCCTGCGGAGCATCTAATGGATTGAAAACATTTTTCTCCAATGTTGTTGTAGACGAATGGCTATTATCATTGGTACTGTTTACAGTGCCATCAAACTGATCACAGGACATTTCCAAAGACTTATTTGGCTGATACCCATCAATCAAACAGTTTGGTTGTGGTGGCTGGACTGCAGACACCTGCTGAGAATTGCTTTGCAATGTACTGTTAGAGCTTGCATCCTGTGACAAATCAGTACTGTTTGGTGCAGTAACAGAAATTGCTGAGGCACAGGGATGTAAACAGGAAGTACTGCTGGAGGTGCTCTCTTCATTGCCACTGCATCGGAGTGGTTCTGGTCGAGGAGATGTAGAGGCATGTCCTTGCACTGCTGGTGAGAAGCTGCAATGCTTTTCATTTGAAAGTGTTAAGTGCCCCTCAGGTTGCTTGTGGAGCTGTTTTTCATGGTCACTTGCAATGACTGGTATACTGCACCTCCGAACATCACCAATTGATCTGCATTCACTTTCAAGTCTTGCAGTGTCAACAGAGACTGATCGCAGATAAGATCCCGGAAGCTTGCTGGAGTACGGCGATTTAAGTCGATCTTGCAAATCTGTTAAAACGTCAGAGTCTCGATCATAAACAGCAGGCGATTTGGCACTGGACAAAAATACTGATTGAGAAAACGATGACTGAGACTCAGACCCTTCAAGAGTGAAGTCTGAATCGTAGTCTGTTAAAGGGCGCGGTGTTGCAACGGCTGAAGTCTGACATGAATCTTCTGAACTGGCAACTGAAATCATGGATATGGATCGAGAGGTCAGGCCTACCCTGTCCCGCTCTTGTCTGGGAGATGCAGTTAAATTAGTCTCACAATTTATGAAAGGTCTTAGCGTCTCTGGCAGATTCGGCTTTGCATCAGTGGACAAAGATCTCGCACTGTTGGCGTCTTTCAGTTGCTTGTCTTTAGCGTGGGCTTCTGAAGGATCCGAACTCTTTGATCTGGTCAGTTCTTTACTTGCTGTTGAACTTTTCAGTTTTTCACGATCTTTTATTTTATTGAGCTCCATGCCAGATCGATGCCTCAGTCGTTCCTTTTCTTTTAGCTTGATTTTCTCTTTGTGTTTTTTGTGCCATTGCTCAATTTCTAAATCCTTTAAACTCAGCATCCTTTCAAAACTGGTTTGCATTAAATCATCATTGACAAGCTTCTTCTCTTTTGGTCGTACATCCTTCACAGAACCAGAATCTTTAGGCTTTGGTCTGTCACCTTCAGATTCCTTGACCTTTGATTTAATGGAAACATTCACTGGTACTCGGTCTTTTTGCTTCCTTTCCTTCTCCTTTGTCTCAGGAGATTTTAGGAACTCGTCTTTAAGTTTATCCTTCAAGGAGCTTAATTTATCATGAGATGCTTTGCTGCTCTCAACAGAGCTACGTCTCCGCTCCTCCAGCAAGTGCTTGGAGTTTGGCACAGAATCGCCATCTCTTTCTCTGGATTTCTCTTTCTTACGCTCTTTTTCAATTTCGCGGTCTTTGGTTTTAACTTTTTCGGCTTTACTGGGAGTGATGTCCTGCGAGTCCTTGTCAGGCAGTTTAACCTTTTTCTCAGAGCCATGCCTGTCTTTTTCCACTTTCTCCCTCAATCCACTGGTGTGACGTTCCCTGTCACTTTTCTCTCGATCATGTTTTCTCTCAATTTTTCTTTACTCTTCTCTTTCTCTTCAGACTTTCGGACCGAGAACACATTCTTCAATTTATCATTTTCCCTGTGGGGCTTTTCTCCAGTGGAGTAGGAATTACTGGATCTATCTTTTTCTTTAGTTTTTTCTGAGCTTTCCTGCAACTTAGCAGGCGTTTTTTCCTGTGACTTTTCATGCAGTTCAGACTTCTCTCTCTCCAATCTGTTTTCATGTTTCATCTTTTTCTCTCTATCCGAATGTTTCCTTTCTGCTTTTTCAAAATCCCTCTCTTTAGTGGATGATTTCTTCTCACCTTTCTCTTTGCTTTCCTTCTTTTCTTTATCTACGCTATCAGATCTGTCTTTCTCTGTGCTCTTTTCCTTTTCAGGAAACTCTGTATGCTCTTTGTTGACATAAACACTTGAATAAAACGGGTCTTCTTTTTCTGTCAGTACAATTTCTTTTCTTTCTTCCAAATCCGTAACTTTGATTTCTTTTTCTTCCTTATAGTGCTTTTCCTTTTTATTCTTTTTAGGTTTTTCTCTCTCTCGGTCATCTTTCAAAATTTTTTCTTCTTTGCAATATTTCTCTTTTATTGCTTTCTCTTCTTTCACTGAAATTTTCTCAGATTTTAAGGGCTTTTCTGATGGGGTGAGCTCCGAGCTTTCACCTTTGAACGTTTCGTTAGTGTCATCGTTCTTGAAGAAGTTCTCTTTCCAGTATTCTCGATCAAACTCTGTAGACATTTCTTTATCGCTTTCCTTTTGTCGGTGTTTTCCTTTCTCGGTTTCATGCTCTTTTTTAATTTTGTTTTTCTCTTTGTCCTTGTGCTTCAGTTTATGCTTCTTTATAACTTTGCCTTCTTTGTCGGTCTTTTTAAACACTTCCTCCAGATTATCAAAGACGACCGGCTCTTCGTCTTTGCTTCTCTGACCAGACTTTTCACCAAAATCAGCATGCAAGTCATTCTTGTGATGCTTGCTTTTTGTTTTGTACTTGAAGGACTTATTGCTGGAACTCTCAGAGGTGTAGTCAGAGTCTGTAAGGTGATCAAACCGTACAACTTCAGCCTGAAAAGACACGTCAGAGGCTCCTGGAGAAGTACCAGTTTTAGCATTTTCCTGTTTAAGTGGTTTACCTCGTTTTTCGCTCAATGCACACGCATGTTTGGGGGATTTGACTGTTGCGAGGTGGAATGGATGACTTGAAGAATCATCTTTCGCATTCAAAGACTTTTTGAACGATTCCTCATCTCTTGACCGGTCTAGAGAATCTAAACCAGAACACGATGAAAAAAGCACCAATTTGGCATTTTCCTTCTCTTCCTTTTCCTGATTGAATTCCTGGTTCTCCTTGTTTTTACTTTGATTCTTCACTTTCTTCTTCCCTTTGCCCTTCTCTTTCTGTTCACTAGCTATGCTTTCTTTCTTAGTCCTTGCGTCCGATTTACTGCTGTCTGCAACGACCTCCAGCGAGCTGCTTGAACAAACCTTTTTCTCCAGTTGTGGCTCATCATCTGAGCTTTCAGAACTAGAAGAAACCAGGACTCTTGCTGATTTCTGCTTCTTCATTTTAAATGGTTTGGGCAAATCTAGCTTTAGTGGTGTTGAATAGCTGCTGTTATCCTTTTCGATGGTTTTCTTGCTAGTCTTTCTCCGAATCCTTTTATTCTCCACAAGTTTGCTAATTTCTTCAACATCATCACCATCATCTTCCTCATCATCATCTTTGAATTCATATTCATCCATTGCAGATGACACAGGTGGCTTGCACGGCGCCACCTGCTGTTTAGTATCTGCTTTCAATTCTTTTTCGACTTCTGAATCGTCCACATTTTCATCCATACTAGAAGGATTCACAGATGGTAGCTCTTCAAATTCTACAGGGAAGAAAGCTTGGAATAAGAAACTTGTACTTTTCAGTCCTATTGTGCACACAAGCGAGAATAATATCTTTAAATATAGCATTAATAATTAAGATTGAATTTTGGAACACATTAAACTCAGGCACAATTTGCAAGCCAGTTTTCCGCACAGAAAAAGAATCTGGACATTTTTAAAAGCATCTTTTCACTTAGTCTTATAGGTCCCTTGAAACTTCCCAAAGAACAGGTGGACAGAACCTTAGTTTAATGTCGATTCCAAAAGATGGCATCTTCGACCATGCAGCATTCCCCCAGCCCTGCACTGGAGAGTCAGCCTGGACTATGACGTGAAATCCTAATTTGTGCTTAATCCCACGATTTTATGGCCCAGAGATATGAGTGCCCTACACTGAGCCAAGCTGACGCCTACTATAAGGCATCATGTATGTCATAAGATGAAAATATTCAAAAATTCTACAACTGGGATATACCACTGTTATTTTGGCAAACTTTATATTACCTATATCCTGGTTCCATTTCAGGATTATAATACAGCACGAGAAGGTTTATTGTTTGTTATTTCCTAACCTGTACAACTCTCCTCCTCTTCCTCATCATCAGAAAGGGGAAGCTCCCCTTTTAGAAGATGCTCCATCTCCTCTGAATCAGCCACATCCACAGGCCTCTCCCCACGATGATTCATTTGATATGCATTTCCACCGTTGCGTAAAAGCAATTTTACAATCTAGAGAAAAAGATTTTAATGTCGAAAGAAAGAAACACAAATTATGGAAACAATTTTCCATAAAACGTAAACAACAAAACACAGGTACAGAAACCAGTTTCAACTGGGTACACAGTTCATTAGATGCAATGTGTACTTATGCAAATTTCCCAGCAAACTTTTAAGACAGTAGTCAATTCATTTGTTGAAACACAGGCACGAGAGTAGACATTGAGCATCCCACCATTTTACAATATCAGAGCACCTCTTTTAATCCCATTAATCTTGTGTTTTCTTCCATAATATTGCTTCTTTTTTGAAAATGTGACCAATTTTCTGACATTTACAGTTTAGTTACAATGGAATGCCTCATCAAGTCTTCAGTAGTCTTTAAGCAAAACAGATTTTATTCAAGGATTGTGTGTGTACATATAGTGTGTGTGTCTGTGTGTGCACCAGAAACTCAAAATAGCACATCATTTGCAGGCAGACTGAAGCAGTCAATGTCTACTTGTTTAATGTCAACAGGCGTAGTAAAATCATTGGATATAAATTCCATGCAATGTAAATTAGATGTATTTTCCGAATTAAAAAAAATGCACAAAAGCCAATTTAAAATTCATATAAGCATGCTGTGTCCAAAAAGGTTACACAGGAGCAGTGGTATACCAAAATAGAGTCAACTCTCAGCTGAGTACATTATAAATACTATTAATTTATTGAACTGAATATTCTGTTGATTGTTTAAGGTACATTTTGCAATAAACTGATGGTTGGGAATTATTCAATTTTTAATGCTGTCCAATATTATGCCGTCACATCAAGGTATTGCAGAAACGCATCACCATGTCTCATCAGCATGTATGTGACGCCGGCTGATCAAAAAAGATTGGTGAGCAGTACATACATTTCTGTGTCCATTGCTTGCAGCATCGTGCAATGGAGTGTCATTGTCAAGTCCCCGGGTGTTGACATCTGCTCCTGCTAAAATCAGCTGTTTAGCAACGTCATAATAACCCAAGTTGCAGGCTTCATGCAGTGGAGTCCATCCTGAAGTGACAGAAATCAGCAAGCACAATTAGGGTGGTAACCACCTTAACAGGGCAGAAAAAAGTGCTAGGTAGGAAAGCAATAGCACAAGTAGTGTAGTGAGTGCCCTGCTTCAAGAAGAGCATGTCAAAACGTAAAAGTGGTTCTCTTGCAGGGAACCCAATAAAAGTCACACAAGACTCCATGGCTTCAACCCATTATCTACATACAGAATGTAAAACTTTGAAGTTTCATTTGGAGACTCATGAACATTGTGATGGATTTCCATGTAGCAAATGCCTGGCTGACTAAACAAACAAGATCTCATTGGAAGAGTTCTTGCACCATACATTTGATGAATTCCCCTTCCCTAATGCAGGCAACCGAGGTTAAGACAAACATAGCACCTTTGGTACAAGCTAGTCGAAATCTGCTATCATACCTGACTCACAAATTAAACGGGACATAAAATTAATGACTCAAATCAAAGAGGGAAATCAGCTTATTGGTAAAAGCATGATACATTAACTTATCAACTAATTTCTATAGCAATTCAAAAAAATCATGACTCAAACTGGATAAGACATTGTAGAAACAAGTTTGCAGAGTACAGTTGGTTCAATTCGAAGGTTGGATTATTGCACGTACCAGCAAAATCTTTGACATTAACATCGGCACCCTGAATGATGAGCTCTTTAACTTGCTTGGTTTCACCACGAATGGCTGCCATATGTAAAGGTGTTTCTCCTCGCTCATTTCGTTTATTAACTTTGTCTTTCTGTCTGGAAGAGGAGCTTGGAGTTTTTTTCTGTCCTGGCGTTGTCTGAGAGGGGTGATTCGGAGTAGAATCTGATAAGAAAAATTAATTTATGTCAGTTCAGCTGCTATGGTGAACTGAGCTTTTTAACAAGTGTCCGGAGCCAATGCAAATAGGAAAGATGCCTTCCATGATAATCCTGGCTATCAAAATGAAAGGACGTTTTTTATTAACAAAACAAAAGGTGCAAATGTAGCACAGCATTACCTGTGCAGTAATGTATTGTTGTGGTGAGAGAACAACTGCTTACATTTGCCTCTTATTTTCCCTTCTTAACCTATATTAAGTACTAATCAATAGACAATCTTTAGTCAAGGAGGTGCACAAGTATAGGGGCAAGTCTCCTCCCTGTGGGGAAGAGACCTGTAGAATGAAAACTCAGCCAAGATGGGGAGGAAGCAGGTACAAACTTACAGTTCATCACTCCAAAGTGCTGTATATTAGTGTCCCAATGCTATGCCTCACCACTGAACTTCCAAACACTATACTCACCAACCAACTGGTTTACACAAATCGACATCTCATTCACAGGGGCAATTAGGATGCTGGTCTGGAAGTGGAAAAATTCACATTGGCAGGAGGTATTCTTCTGAAGTTGAAATTAAATTATATTATTGATCTCGGCTACAGGAATCTTTATTCTGTATCCGGGCACGAATTGTGAGTGCTTGATGTGGACGCTGGATTCCCAAAATGGAAAAGGCATCCTTTCCTCAGCATTGGCTTCCCTCACTTTGATAAATTCAAATACAACCACTTTTTAAAAAACACAAAATCTGAACTATCTAGACATCAGAGGCCCAATATTAAATTGTCTTAAAATTTTAAATCAATAACTTCAAAAATCGCAAATTCAATCTCGACCTGGAAACTAATTCTTGAAGAACTGTGGAAAGATTGGGTTCCAAATTAAGGATAAATTAAAAATTTTCCAAAATGAAAACTATATACACAATCTTATATTTTATGAGGAATTTGGCTCCCATTTAAATTTGGCTCATTGTAAATTATCATTTACACTTTTTCCTTTTTATATCTAGTCAAGTTCTCTCTCAAGTAAGCTACAGATCAGCACTCCAAGATATTTCGGGTCTCATAGAATAGCAATTAGGAAGCTGATTCTTTACTGTAATCTTACTCATGTGGTCCCTGACAGACACATTGCATATTTTATAGGATGATTCACATTCATACCCGATTTAAAAATCTATGGAATATTACTGCCTGTACCGCTTATGTAGAGATGTAGAGTTTGTAAAAGTTACAAAAATAGAAGACATCAGACAAACCACACCAAACACTAGTGGTATTATCTCTCTAAACCTCAACTGAGCTGCCACAATGTGCCAGTTTACAGACTGACCAACCATTCTTCTTTACCCCTCCCCCCAAAAAAATTCCCAAAAGCCCCTTCCCAAACTGTCATAGTCACAAACCTACCTTTGAAACAAGACAACAGAAAGATCAACAGGATCAGTGATGAATGGTCCCCAGCGTAGTATAATACATCACTTATGATCCTGACTGTACATATATAAAACCACAAAAGGAAGCCAAATACAGTCCTCTGATATCCTACTTGTGCTAAGTCTCAGATGCATACAGTAAACTCTGGATAACTCGTTACTCCAAGGAAAAACAAACCAGTGACAATTTATCCGATATGACGAGCTAGTGGTTGGTCCTCTCATACTCGAAGGCTGCTTGCTCGGCGCTGCTCTCTCTTGCTCACTCAGCCAGCACCCACTCCTCAGATAGGCATGCCTCTGAGCATGCATACCCAACCCCGGTTGAGCACCTGCACCAGTCACAGGATAGGGCGGGAGGCCATGGCCCAGCCCTGTAATAGACCAGAGGCCTCTGTATGCATCTGATATCTAGCAGGGTGGGAGGCCACGGCATGGCCCTCCAATAATGCAGACACCACCTTATAGGAGGAGTTATCCGATCAATTCTACATTGCAAGTACTTACTAGAATTTCTACAATTCCATGAATTACTTGTTAAGGGGGAGTGACGAGTAAAGCCTTGCTCCTTAAAAATAATTTATGTGGAAAGCAGTCAGGATATTATCGCTGACATGGCAACTTAAGTGACAGTGACGGGTTAGCCCGGGTCGAGTTATCAGGAGTTTACTGTATTTAGTTAACTACCAAAGATTGAAGAAACAGCTTTTTGGTGGGTAGCTCAGGAGTTTTCCATTTCACCAATATACATGGGCATAATCATCCCTGGAAACTAAGCATTATAAAAGCCCACCTGATTAATTTACACCCTCTGGAATAGAGGATAATATTGTTCCACCCATGCCTTATACTAGTTCTCAGCATAATCTAAGATTCAAGCTAAGCTACATTTTGTTTATGCCTGACTAACTACTCCCTACTCTATATCAAAAGCTATTGATTTTGTTACAGTTGAAGATCAAACATCTGGTTGAGAGAACTTTTTTCTCCCTCTACCCACAAAAAATAGCCACTCCATTTTATAATACATCTGGTGAAACCCTTTGAGTGTTCCTCTCAATGTGAAAGGCGCAATATCAAATGTAGGTATTATAAATACTACTACAAAGGAACATATATTTTCCATTATTGACTTCAGATATGTAAGGTCTCACTACAGCAAAGTGCTCCATCTAGTGGATCATTCCAAAACAAGTATGAAAATCTTTAAGGGAAACAATGAATAAATAACTTGAAAATAAAATTCAGTTCCTTGGGTTCCCATTTTATTTTTCTCTGCTAAAATCTTTTATTCTCCTTGCTTTTCTTAAGTCTGTTATATCTCTCTCTCTCACCACCCCGCCCTCCAAGAGAGCTGTCAATCAGCCTACCAAGGTGGCTCTGTGAATGGATACAAGGAGACTGGGATAATTTTCTCTTCCTCCCTGTGAGAATGAAGCTTTTTCTCATAAAAGTAACTCAACGTCTGTTCAACACCTCCCGTAAACCCACGGACATTGAAAGTCTCTACAGTGCAAATTCAATCAGATTAAAACAATTTAAGATTTTTACATTTCGTACTGGCTAACAGTTTTATATGTCTTTTGGACTAATAATCCAACATCTCTAATACTGTATATGGAGCAGATATAATACCATCTCAGTAACTAACCTTTTATTTCAGACACACAAACCTTTTAGTTGTTGATGGCAAGGCCTCCACTGCTTCCTCTCACACTCAGGCTTTCTTGTTCAGTGACATCCTCTAGAATAGAGGATAATATCCTCTTTTTCTCATAAGAGGAAGACTAGCTAGCTATCAAAAGTGCAAATGAGGTTGGGAATAATTGTTCCTGCAACTGTAGCCCACTGCTCTGATCAGACAAATGGGCATAAATATCACAAGCTCCAATGAATGTATTAACAGCCTTGAAGGTAACCAAGGCAATAGAGCTGCAAGCACTATTTGGCTTTGCCGGTGGGAGGTATTTTGGATGCCGACGGTTGCACCTGTGCTGCCAGCTGATATGAAGGGATTGTTAGATGCATTGGAGAAAATCCATTTAAAAACAATTACTGTACGTACATTTATTTAAGGAAAGGATGTGGCAAGCATATACATTGCTAGAAGGAAATTTCTATTCTACAACAATAGAAATAGTTGAATAAGGACAAAGATAACCTAAGGTTAAGCAAAATTATTTAAAACCACAATGAAACAAAGAATCATCAACAAATGACATTGAAGATAATTGAAATGGTAGGCTTTTGTTATAGCAGTCTTCTTTTAAATAAACTTTAACCTGCACATACAAATGAAAAATAATTTAACCCATAGGGAAAATTTGTGGGAACACCATCATTTCAAATTTGCACACTTCAAGCCAGCTCAAATCTGGTGATTCATATTCTCACTCAGGAATCAATCATTCATTCTATATCCATAAACCACAAGAAGAAATTCTCCCGATACAAACAAGAATGCTGAAACATGCTTGTTGCTATAGTGAGATTGTATTAGTGATGAATACAAGATAAAATAAAAAAAGGAAATCGTATCAAATGATATCAAACTGATGGAAGTAGGAAGCTTTTTCTCATAAGAGGAAGCCACAAGTCAAAAAGACCAGGCTCAACTGAGTATGTAAAGGTCAAAATTCTTTCAAAGATACAGGGATTATACCTCATAAATAATCCACATCTCTTCCTCACTCATTCAATCTGCACAAACAGGAAGTATACCAAATGAGGAAGCAGGTGTCTCGAGGACCTGCATCTTCAGGCTGGTTTACAGAACTTCAGCGACACCTCGCAATATGTGGGGAAGATCATTGGCTGATATCAGATCGCATGGTAATACACCTTGTAGGTCATTGCTTATGTTGAACCAAAATGATGTACTGGGAATTCCCCGTTCCCAAGTGACAGGATCATCATCCTTCTGAGTAGACTGTAGCTAGTTGGAATGATCTGTGTCACTGATCAATTCAAAATAAGTTTCAGAGCCAGAGACATTGGATGAGTTGCCTCCACCTTTGCATTGTGGCACAATATTAATCAAGGTGTATTACCATGCTATCTGTTATAGTATTAATAAGTGGGCAGTAGAAAGTTGTACTCTAAAAAAGCATCAGAGAAATATTTTAAGATGGTTAATTCAATGAAATGCAAATAGGTTCTGTAGGAAACAGTTTGGGTAGAAATATTGGTAAACAAGAAACACCTGATGTGAAGAATTTATCAATACTCACTAATGAAATGGATGGCAAATTCAAGATCTAGATATTTTGTCTTAAGTAATTTCTGCCCCTCCCCAAAACAGAACATTACGTTTTGCAAACAAAATACAGTTAATTCACTTGACAGTATATTCTGTGAAGCGCTTTGAGACGTCTCGAAGACGTGATATAAGGCACCATATCAAATGCAAGGATTATTATTATTACCAAGACATGGCCTCTCCAACGGTATATTGTGGATGCCAAGAATGAAGGTGAAAGCTTATTCTAGAGTTTCCCTCAAGCATTTTCAGGCACCGGAAAAACAATGGGGAATGTTTTGGGCACCTCACTCTGCTGGAACTTTACTTTAAATAAGTAAAATAAAGAGTCCACAGTAAGTAATTTGTGGATCAGTCTGTGGAAGTAATGAACTTGTAGCATTTTCACACTCAAGACCTTATGTTCTGAAAACATTTACAAAAATACATTAAAATTAATTTTTAAAATGAATTCCACTTCTTTAAACAAATGGTCATTCGGGTAGTACTTTTAGAATTTAAAAAACAAATTCAGAGATTCTTGATACTGCGTAAAAGGATGGTGGAAGCAGATTCAATAATTCAAAAGGGAATTGGATATATACTTGGAAAGAAAACATTTGTAAGGCTATGGGGAAAGAGCAGGGGAGTCGGGACTAATTAGATAGCTTTTTTCAAAGAGCCCAATGGCCTCCTTCTGTGCTGTAGGATTCTATCATTCTAAACTGTTCCTGTGCTATGATATAAGATGTGCATATTAAGACATAATAAGAATTAATAATCGTTGTATTTGATATAGCGCCTGTCACATCTTCGAGACATCTCAAAGCACTTCACACAATATACTGTAAAGTGAATTTATTGTACATTTTGTGGGCGAAATTGCAGTGCCCCACAAACAGTCATGAATTGAAGTAACCAATTTTGTTATTATTTTTAAGGAATGTTTACACCCAGAAAAGCGACCCGCAATTGACTAACAACTGGTTCCTACTTACTGCTAGGTAAACAGAGACGTGAGGAGCAAGGAAACTTGCCCAACACTTGGCCCTGCCGGGAATCGAACCCAGGTCTCTCGCTTGCGAGGCGAGTGCTCTAACCACTGAGCTACAGGACTCTACATCCTACTATATTTAGTGAGCTTATTGGTTCTCAATGTAAAAAGCAGTCCTTCCATATAATGAGCTTTAGTTTGCATACATTTTCATACCACTTCATGACTATCAATTCCAAATACTAAAAGTAAAAATCACATTACCTAACTTGACTTTGTTTTAAATAGTTTTGAAAAAAAAACAAAATCCTCTATCTCCCATCCTTTCCTAGAATGTTAAAATTTTGACTATACACTATACACTTCACAAGGAAAAAAATTATGGTTGGTATGACCTGGACTGTTATCTCGTGCTGTCATCTGCATCACTAGAGCCATCTGCTGACGCTCCGATAGTGGATACCCGATCAGTATGCCCCCAAGTGTGGCCTTGACAGGAACAGATTTCTTGCAGCCAGACTCCTTTTTCGCTTTCTTTTTCTCAGGGGGTTCCTTTTCTGCAATTATAAAAAAATCAAACAAAGTAAGATATATTTCTGAAAGCTCAGACTGACAATTGTTTGTTAATAAGAATAAGGAATGGAATGCACCCATCAACAGTTCAAAAACGCTATTCCCAAACATTCTTCTAAATTATGTTACAGTAGTTGATATTGTAAGGTATTCTTTAGAATATGTAATTTGTTGTTCCCCTTGTCCACACACAAAATGACAGAATCCTAAATCGTAAAGCTGTAAAGGCAGAAACAAATCCTAACATTGATGAAATAAACAAAATACATACTGAACTCATCACCAACTTTTATTTGCTCTACATTGTTTCCTTTCCTTAGTTTCAGGGCTAAAAGCATAGCCACTGATAATGCAGTAGAGGGAATGAGGGACATTCAGTAACCTGGAGTCAGCTGAGTGAAGTTGGTAGGTAATGGAATGAAGTGTAAGCAGGTCAGAAAGTAGGGAGGTGCCAGAGCATGAAGTGATTGGTAGAGGAGTATGAGGATCTTGAAATCGATCAGTTCTGCAATAGGAAGCCAGTGGAGTCTGTCAAGGACAGGAGTGATGAGGATATGGAGTTTGATGCCGGTGAGGACACAGGAGGCGGAGTTTTGAACTCATTGGATTTTTATAAATTGTGGAATTGAGGAGATCGGTGAGGAGGGGATTGCAATAATCAAAGCAGGAGTGACAATGCATGGATAAGGGTTTCAGTTGCATTGGATGTAAGGTACGGATGGAGATGGGCAATGTAACGGAGGTGGAGGGAAGTGGTCCTGGTTAAGGAGGTTAGAGCTGCCAGTGAGAAGATGTTGACGGAAGCCTCAAGGATGGCTTGCATCTTATCAATATGACAGAAAAAAAAGTGGAAAGTTGGTGTTCATCCAGGCCTTGATATCTGGCAAGCAAGAGGACAGCACATTGCTGGACCTGGCATTAAGGCTGGAGTAAATTTGAGTGGTAAGCATTCCAAGATGCTATCTGAGGGAAGAGTGCTATATAACTGCGAATTGTAATTGCTGTTGTTGTTTCCTTCCTCTCACATAACTTTCTCAGCCAAGAGGAGGGGTAGCAGGAAGCCAATTCCCAAGACTACTAATTTCACAATGAATTGTACTTTTATAGCACCAAACACCCAAGATAAATGAGCAGGTAGAAGAGGGAGTCTGAGTGTTGGCCAAAGGTACAGTCAAAGCAATTTTTTTTAAAAAAAGGTTTGAAAGGCAGAGATGTTACTTTAGGACATGTTACTAGGAGATCCACAAGAGCAGCTTGGGTTGATTGACTGATGTGTACCCTCTGCTCAACAATTGCTCTCAGCAACATGGGCAAGATTAGGAACTCTTCATGTGCCAAAATCATTGGCATAAACATGATGGAAGCTGCTGAGGGGAAGGAAAATAAAGTAATTGAAGGAAAATGGATATTTTTCTTTCAAGTAATAATTATTTGGAGACAGGAGCATTTTGATTGGTTCTTCAACTCTGCTATAGACAATTACAGCTCAACGTGTTGTGCCATCTTACTACCTTCCAAACCAACTCCAGGTATCAACTAAAATACTTGGAATGGATTTTTTTTAAGATGAGTTTTGCAATACCAAAAGAAGAACTTTACTACAATAGTACCATAGTACTGAAACACAAAATGCAAGATATGCAACATGAAATGTGTTAGCAGGCGGTGTTAAGTTGAAAGATTCCACTCTCCATACCCTTCAATATTCCTTCTCTTCAAATATCTATCTCAGAGATTTCATGTACTTTGCTTCAACATATAACACAAACCCTTTTATATAGTAAAATTGATCCACAACACAGGTCGTGATATACGACAATGCAATAGAAGCTCAAAAGATGTTCTCATGTATAATAAGCATTTGTTCCAGCCAAATGAGGCACACTGAGTTTCTCCTTGCAGCACAGGATGGATACATATGGTGCAGCTGAAGAAATCGTCACAACACCTCATACAGATTTTAAATTAAAATTTAATCTGTATTAAAAAGTGGCCAGAAAAGAAGCAGCTACCTTCTGCTGCAGAAACACAATGGAAGCTGATGAGGGGAAGGAGGATAAAGTAATTGAAGGAAAATGGATATCTTTCTCTCAAGTAATGATTATTTGGAGACGGGAGCATTTTGACCTAGTTATATTTTCTTCGGGGAGGGGGGGGGGTGCCAGGGAGAAGAGAGAAAGGCATTGGCAAATTGCCTCCGCACCTTAATCTGGTGGTGAAGTTGATTTTACCTGCATATGTTGTGTAAGGTGGTATTAATCGTTCCCCCCAGGTTTCACTGGAGTGTCTATAGATCAGAATCTATAGATCAAGAGAATGCAAAGAGCAGTATAAAGAGTTCAGCAAGTTCCAGTTGGGAACTTAAGAATGATGCATTCGTTGCATACTCTTTAACATGTTCCTGGCTAATAGGAATTTCTGGCTTGATGGCTATTCACAAATAATACTTTTTTTTAAAATGATTAAACAATTCATAAGCATTTATAATGTGAATGAGTGGTTAAACATTTTTAAAAAGATTGTTGCAGAATTAGTTCACAACAGCCAAAACTAAAAATCCCTGCCTCTGCAGAATGAGGACAATACCACTTGAAACAGAGTCACTTCAGAGAGTAACAGTCATTATTTTCAATAGTGCCCATAATCACTATTAATAATAATACTTGCATTTGATATAGAGCCTTATCACATCTTTGAGACATCTCAAAGCGCTTCACAGAACATATTGTAAAGTGAATTGGCTGTATATTTTGAGGGCGAAACCCGGCAGACAATTGTGCACTGCAGTGTCCCACAAACATGGATTGATTGACCAAATAGTTATTTTTTTAATACATAGACATAAATGACCTACTCCTTTTATGATTTAATTCTGGAAAATTCAACCTATAAAATTGAAAGATCAAAACCAAACTGAATAGTTTGACTGGTTCAGGAATCTTTCTTCGCTAAGATCAAGACCAATAACCACTTAAAACCATGAAAAAGTCACGTGTGTTCCATCTATTATTAGATGCATCAAGAGCAAGAGTCTGAAATCAAAATTTCCAGCCTTGTGACATTGGAAAATTAAATGTCTACATCTGACCAACCAAATGTCAAGTTGAGGGAACATGACCAAGATCAAGACAAAAGGGACTTTCCTTCTTATTTCTAGCATGGTTGGTTGAAAACGTGATTCATTTAAAACCAACCCAGAAAATAGGTTTTGCTTTGTATTTATAGCATCCACAATTAGAATAAATTGTGTGATAACATAGTTGCATGAGAATCAGATTTGGTCATGTGGAAGACAGCCAGAGAAATGAAATCACACCACAGTTAAATGTGATTTACAAAATAGGCACCATAGAAGGTGCAGTTCATGATCACCTATAAGCTGAAATCTGAGGCCAATTCTACTGATTGCCCTTCCAACTTGAAATTCCTAAAAATAAGATGGAAATTCCTAAAAATAAGAAAGGGAAAGTAAGAGAGAGAAAACGTGGGCATTTGTTTATAAGGCACAATTGTACCACAAACCAAACCATATATTTTAGCCACAAGAGGCACTCTTAATATATCTGATCCAACTTCATGCAGATTTTAAATTTCTGCTTTTCGTTGTATACTGGACATAACCATTTGTTTTATGCTAAAAATGAACTAACAAAAATGTAAACTTACTTAGAATGTAATTTTGATCAAATTGCTAACTGCACTATACCAAGCCAAATCTCTAACAATTTCCTGATCCGAGCTCAATCTTAAAATCAAAAATACTTCAGCCATAAGACACAGTTTATGCATTTTTATAAATGACATTTTCCTTCTAGTTTCAAGTTTGAGTTTTTGAAACCAGTGATTTAAAAAGTAGATAATTTACTACTGGGGTCTGCTGGTGTTTAACTCTCCTGTGATACAAAGTGCAATGTCAGGAGATGTTACAAGCAGTCTCAACAAGAACATAAGAAAATAAAGCAAAGGCTATTAATGTGTGCAATCCACTCCTAACAGACCATGTACAATTTGTACTCTTCCTAATTTTAAGAATGACCAGAGATTTAACAATCATAAATTTATCTTCCGTCACCCCATCAAAAGACAACTGAATGAAATTCCAACCCCAAATTACATCCTGATCTTCAAAAATGTTTATACAATCAGCTTAATGTAATTTTGTTGCAACCCTCAAAGTTATATCATTTTGAAACATTCACCTATTCCAACAACTGTCAATGTGTGGAAAATAAAAAACAAGTTCGACCCAGAAATCTCACAACCACAACAACAAAATTACATTTATAGAGCACCTTTCACGTCAGGAGGATGTCCCAAATAGCTGTAACCACCAAGTAATATGACCTGAGGGATTAAAGCCAGGATAGCTGTCATCAGACAGAGAAGTTAGTCTTCTCGTATAATTTAATAATAATAATAATAATAATAATCCTTGCATTTGATATAGCGCCTTTCACGTCGGGAGGACGTCCCAAAGCGCTTCACAGAACAGACTGTAAAGTGAATTGACTGTATATTTGTGGGCGAACGCGGCAGCCAATTGCGCACAGCAATGTCCCACAAACAGTCGTGGATTGAAAATGACCAATTTATTATTGTTTTTGGTTTTGGAGGGATTATTATTAGGCTCTGTGTGGAGTAAGGAAACTTGCCCAAGGTTTCGCCCTCTGCCTGGGATTGAACTCAGGTCTCTCACTTGCAAAGCGAGTGCTCTAACCACTGAGCTTCATTCCAAGAAAGGTGGTTACCAGTCTTAAAAACTTTCCAGAGCTTTCAAGAGCAAGAAGGCTGTGTACATGTATTTTGGTTGCAGCTGAGTAAGGCATTTTGTAGTTTGACAAGCTCCTGGATTCATGGCAGTTCCTGGCAGATTCTATTCAGCTAGCTGTATTCGAATACATGTATTCCCCAGAAAGACGTAAAGGAATTTGCCCATTGTCCAGAAATGGGTTAAAACCCTTCAAGGCACTCGAAGAGCCAGCATCTAGGAAGAACTGAAATCCTTGTTAGACACCCAGACAGTCCATGCTAAGGCACCTCAGGTTCTTCCAATTTAGGAAAAGCTAAGTGTCCCCGTGTAGTCATTGCGTTGTTATCACCACAAATGGGATCAGTAGAAACACACTCCAGACCGTCCAAAGGAGACAATGTTGAACCCAACCAGATGAATCAGCATGGCGTTGATACAGTACACATTACTGCTTAATAGTACTGTGTTCAATGTTTTTACAGGCTTTTTCTTTCATTTGGGAGACCTTTTGCATTTTGGCACAGGACTCTTTGGTGCAGACTGTGCCGAGGTATATAGCACCTAAAATGCCCGCTGGTACTGATAATTGTAATTGGGTACAGGAGTTTTAAGCTTTTCGCAATGGCCTGGGGCTAATGGAGGATGGAGGACTGAAGGCAGATATGACATGAGTGTGTATCATAATTGGGCAACTATGATTTCAGCTCCGACACATGGCCTGCTAGAATGTGAAAACATGCCATGTGAAAGCTACCAAAATGATTCTGCAGCTGGGTGACTGCAGAATCATTTTGTTAGTTTTCACTCTTCTCTCAATATTAAAATTTCCTACCAAATCTCACTGGTTAGGTTAATAATAATAATAATAATAATAATCCTTGCATTTGATATAGCGCTTTTCACGTCAGGAGGACGTCCCAAAGCGCTTCACAGAACACACTGTAAAGTGAATTGACTGTATATTTGCAGGCGAACGCGGCAGCCAATTGCGCACAGCAATGTCCCACAAACAGTCGTAGATTGAAAATGACCAATTTAATTATTGTTTTTGGTTTTTTGGAGGGATTATTATTATTAGGCGTGTGGAGTAAGGAAACTTGCCCAAGGTTTCGCCCTGCCTGGGATTGAACTCAGGTCTCTCACTTGCAAAGCGAGTGCTCTAACCACTGAGCTACAGGACTCCACAAGGTTCTTTTATAATGGTCACTTGGACAAAGTGTTGGAAAATCAGGATCTGAAAGAAACGAGCAAATTGGATGGGAAACATAGTATAATTAAAAAAAACACTAGATCACTGAAAGGAGGAATAAGTGAAACCGTTCCACTGAACAATCAATCCTGCAAGGAACGTCGATGCTGCATTAATTAGGAATTGGCTGAAAGGGTAACTAAGGAGTCAGGTTACAGAACTGCAACAACATTGCAGTTGGATGATCATCACTTGAAACCTTCTTTGGATTTATTGCCTTTTAATTTGCACCATTTCTAAAAAAAAGAAATTGGTCTTCTTTTGATGTTGAGGATGCTGCCAAATACCAGAGCGCATTGGAATTTTTTTACTTGGCAAATTTAAAAAATCAGCTGGGTCCTAAATGGCGAGCACCAGGAGAATTGTGTAGACTAATATTATGTGTAAGGTGGAGAAGTAAGTTTTTCCCATAAGCAGCCGTAAGCACTGGGTCTTTTCCCTCTTTCGTGCAAGTATTACAATCCTCTATAGATACAAAGGGAGATCTCTGAACATTCACTAGTATACTGTAAACCTCACATAAGTCATATCAGTTGGGACCATACATTTAATATGATTTATGGAAAGGATGAATTATGTCAAACTTGCATAGAATATAAACTCTTGAACGGGACTTGGGCAGATGTATGACTTAAGCGATTATACGATTTATACAGATCAGACTTGCATGAATTTTACTGTATTGACAGCACTGCTCGTCAATTCAGGCTGTACATTCGCCATTGAAGGCATCCTTATAAAGAATCTTCTGCAAAATTTTCCCAACATGACAATTTGCTCCATTATAATCAAGTCAAGTACCTGGACTCCAACTATCAGGAAGTTGTATGGTTGGAATCACCAAAAGCCACATCACAGGGAATTGTTCCAAGTAAAATACCTGTCTCTATGTTGTATTTCCAGCAGTTGTAAAGCATAAAACACAGGAGCAAATGACACCTGAGAAACACTAACATCTTCATTTGAGCATAAATGTGTTTATTCTGTGGTGCTAGTTACAATGTTCTAGGTCGGTTTTCTTCCTACTACTCTAGTGATTAGCACTAGAGGTAGTTAATCAGAGAAAGTACAGTAAACCCCAACATCATGTATCCAGAATTCTGAATCAGCCCCACCACCCTGTGTTTTCAAACTCCCGCCAGCCAAGTGATGCCCACAGCTTGACTGATTGGTTTCACCGAGGGCCTGAATGGAGCTGCATCGAGTCAGTGATGAGTCCAGAACTATTGTTTTTTCGTCTATTTTATGCATTTAAAATTCATTTTTATGTTGGACTTTTTCATTTTTTCTTTATTTTAAATGCTAAATATATGGATTAGTAGTTGGCCAAAAAATCCAGCTTGCCAAACCAAATCCCCAATATTAGTTGAATGACTGGGGGGGAGGGGTATTGTAGTCTAAAGACACCTAGCCAACAGTACTAATGATTTAAGGCAAACAAACTTTAAGGGGGGGGGAGGGGGGGGAATACCTTTGCTACATGGACGGCATTTGTAACAGGCTTGAAGGGTTCAATGTACTCTTCCAGTTCTTATGGTACAACGATTTTGTATTCTATAAGCTAAATATCTTAGTTTTTTTTCTCTACACAATGTAGTAGTATGCATAGGTTACAATTATTTAAATAAGCTCTCATATGAAACAGCTTAAAGGGAATGGTTTACCTGTGTCGGAATCCCTCTGCTCACCCCTCGATGGACTAACAGTGAAGGGAAGTTTACGCTTCATGGAAGACTTTTCTTTCATCTCTTTCTCCAACTCACTTCGATCTAATTTGGGTGTTCTGTTGTAAGATGAAATTTTTTCTTTATTCTAGAAAAAAGATATCAGTATCAAATGGTAGTCAAACAGTTAATTGCCTTGTTTAGTGATTGCCATCCAAGCAAGTTAAGATTTGAAAGAAGAAATCATTTGGAAGGAAAAATCCAACCTGTGGAAATTGCTTGTTCTCACCTACTCCATTTGACATAATGGCATAGATGAGATAAGCTAAATTGCATCTGACTTGGTCAGGCTATCTAGACACCCTTTAAAGAGTTAGCTGTAGTGTGGCGAGGAATGATTTAAAGCATACAAGGTATTGGCAATTCCCTTCAACTGACTTTTCCAGTTGGCTGTCTGTTTCTGTCACTTTTGCTTTGATATAATGTTTTTAATTCGACTTCACAGAAATTCTTATGTACAGGATATTCCCTGCTTTAAGTTAGACTTCCCTGTGGGTGGCTTACCTTCATGTTCCAGCTGGTTCTCGTTCCAGCTGCATTGCTTTTTGAAGCTGGCATGCAGAAACATACCCACCACACTTGTGGGGGAAAACCAGAAATCTTTCCAAATGATTGCACCCTGAGCTCTGCCACATTCCCACAGGAAGACTCTAAGGAGAGTGAGCATCTAGTCACTCAGTTCAGGCAATTGTAAAGAACGCACGTGACGAAGAGACAGATGGGACACAACACACTCCGCCCCTCCCCCCGACTAGGCCCAGATCTAAATTTTTGCATGGGCTTCTCTTTTCAGTCTCGATGACTAAACCAAGCATTACCTCGCTGTCAATTACATTGTTTCCATTGCTTTGTAATTTTTTTAAAAAATTCAAACATAAATACATCATTGGCTATATTCTGTGCATTGAAGCTTAAAAATGTCTTTTTTGCAAGAGCTCATTCATGTGCCTGAGACATAGGTTTGGAAACTTTTTTTTAGTAAATGACAAAACAGTAACAAGACTTGTATCTCTCCAAAATGCTAGATATTGCTTGCTCAAGTGATACAGTCACAAGCAATAGTCAGCAACAAGGCAATCAGAACTTTCCTTATAACTAATTCAAGAAGTGGCTTTGATACCAAGGCCAAAACTTTAGTTCTTAACTAGTAACCGACAAATACTTTAGCCCTAACTGCCGTTTACAACAACTTTTTAGCTTGTGGCATAAACTTGCTTCTGCCACAAACCAGGATAGTAAGGGCAAAACATTAGTAGGTACTATACCAATGTCCCTGAGGGCTGTACTCTCCAAATATTTGAGCACTTGTTTCTTAAAGTCTATAAAATCCCAGCTCAGTGTAATAGCTGAATTATTATAGAAAAGGAGCACAAGCTGCATCACTTCTGGGACATATGAAAGATAACACACCCCAGCAAATATGGAATAAGCACATTATTCAGTGGTCAACATTTCTAGTGGCGAACAGATTTATTTTCCTATCCTGAAAGGGGAAATAATACTGCACAAACAAGGTCCCCATTTGTTCTCAACCCCAGTCTCGTCTCTCCAATTCCATAGAATGCATCCACAGTTGCCTTCAAAACCCAGTTTTTACTGCCAACTTCAATTACCTTCACACTTAATTTAAGTAAGTCTACTTCCATTGATGTAAAGAAAGGGGGGGAGGGTTAAAAAAAAAAGGAGTTGGTAACTGGGATGGTAGGGGCAAAACAAATGATTCAATGACTAGGCTTTGACGTCAAGGCTGGCCAACTAATGTTCCATGCTTGCTTTATCCTGTAACCACTTTACAGCAGATTGGACATTCGTATTTTAGTCCCTTATCAGATTTCGTATCCTTTAATTTTCAGTCTCTTTTTGAATCCAACAAAAATTCACACAATGCTAATAATTAAGTGATACATTCTGTTAACAGCTGTGATTGGAACTAGTACGCCTTCTTTCAACTTGCATAAATTTTAAATCAAAACTTTACATTCAAAAGATTTGTAAAACTTTCACCATAACTAGAAATTTGGATCTCATATCCTTAATCAAAATTGGACACTAATTATACACTAAACTAATCCTTATATTTGATATAGTGCCATTTATGTCAGGAGAACATCTCAAAGAATCACCCCCAGCACTGGATTTGAGCGTCAGCATAAACTACGTGAATTTCAAATGCTGACATGGGACTTGAACTCGAACCTTTTGACTCAGAGAGTGCTACCGACTAAACTAAGTTGACACGCTTCACAACATATTTGACCTTTTCGAGTTCAAAAAGTACCCCTCGACAATATAAACTTCCACAGAGAATACATTAAGATTAGGTGTCAGCTTGGCTCAGTAGTAATTCTCTTCCCACCGAGTCAGAAGGCTGTGAGCTCAAGCCCCAAGTAAGGACTTGGAATTCATAGTCAAAGTGACACTTAATGCACTGCTGGGGTGTGCTGAGTTGTTGGAAGTGCTGTCCTTCAAATGAGACGTTAAGTTGAAGGCCTGTCTGCCTGTTCAGGTGGATGCTAAAAATCCCATGGCAGTATTTGAAAAGAGAAGGGAGTTTGGTCATTCACATCACTGCAGTTTGTGGGGCATTTTGTGCAAGTCAGCTGCTGCATTCACCCACAAAATACAGTTACTGCCCTTTACAGTATAACCTGTCAGATGGAATGTGAAACATAGGAGCAGTCAGCTATTTTGTTAATTGGAAGTTGTCAATCCATGGGTGCCCAGGCTAACAATCCTCCAGATTTAAATAAGTTATTTGCTTCATTATTATTTGTGGGATCTTTCTGGAACAAATGGCTGGCCTGACCCACTCCAATTTTTTAGGCACCTCCCTACCCCACAGCATTAAGTCAGTCAGTACTTTTGAAATAAATCCATGTACAATCTCATTTTGCAACTCAGCTTTCACACTGATGCCACTGATCTTTTAAGACTTTTTTTTAAAAAACAGAATCTATGAAATATGGCAGACTGAAAATAAATCAATGATTTAATACGAAACAAAGGGAAGGATGAGTTGAGTGTGTGAGGTTCTACTCCAAAAAATTGCTCCAGAGTAGTTTCCAATTTTTTAGCCTTTTCATTTAAAGTATTTTCTTCATAAATTAATTACTTTTCACCTTAGGTAGCAAATTTGAAATTACTACGGAACATGCACTTAGTTCCAACTCACTTCTAAACATGTAGGTGTTCAATGGCACCCAGTATGATTAATGTAACTGTGTGCTTTACTTGACTTTTAAAATTTGGCAACATATCTCATGAAAAGTGTAGTTAACATAAATCATACTGACTGCATGCAATATATTACTGTCAAGTGCCTCTGGTATAGGAGATAAAGCTGCAGTTTAGGGACTAGAAATTTTTGCTTTCGTCTTCTGCATTGCTAGAGCCTGTGTTAATGTTACAATAGCCACCGTATTGTGTATTTGCCTGTTCCGTCCCCCCCCCCACCCAATTCATGCTAATTTTTCCAACACTTCCCACTTAAAGGGGGGTGGGTGGGGGGAGCGGTTAATCAAGTATTTTCTTTTTACTGATAGTGAATGAGACTTCATCTATAGCTTTTTCCCCCCCATGCCAAGATAAAAAGCAATATCTACAAGAAATATCAATTTTATAATCAACATTAAGAGTCACCAAATTTGAATATGCCTAGTTTTAATAAATAGAACAGATAATAGATTCCACTATGTACAAATTTGAAAGCATATCCTACCTTCTTTCCAGTCTGTTTTTCAACCATGTTGCTGTTGCAGTCAGAGGTTTCAGTCTGTGCTGTTCTGGATGACCCAAATTTGGGCATTTTACAGCAATTTTTCCTCTCAGGTGCCCGTTTCAGGCAACAACAATATGGTCATCCTTTATCTGAAAAGCAAAGAGTAAATTATTTGACAAACAAAAATGGAGTTTGTCTTGCTGCATTTAGTGTTTCATGTACGACCTTCTTTTAACAGTATTTGAGGTTTATTTTAAAGTTGACAAATTGGTTATCATTCTTATACTGTGCGCCCATTTCGCCCACAACATATACAGTCAATTCACTTTACAGTATATTCTGTGAAAGCTTTGAAACGTCTAGAAGACATGAAAAGCGGCATATCAAATGCAAGGATTATTATTATTATTATGAAAGTATACTTCCAGGGGTATGAAGCCACATTTAACAGAATCTTTTCTGTTAAATATACTGTAAGATATACAGACAAACTAATAAAGCCCACTACAGACTGATACTGACCTCACCCAATGGCCAGATATGAATATTACAGACAGAGTGGAAGACTATCTGCATATCTATACCTAAAATTCCTGGTAATACATTAGAGGGCCTGGAATGGGGAAGGTAAATCCACAGTTCATCATCCAAGAGCAATGGCACACAAGTTTACAGAAGGTTGACCACTGGAGAACTCACTCCCTTAACGCAGCATTTAAAAAGCCATGGACACCAATCCAACATTACTCTGGTCACTTAATGAAAACGTCCATCATTCTGCCTTTGATTTTGTCAGTTCTATTAAATTTATTCTTTTGTGCACCGAGTTTTTTTAATATAAAAGTTTCCATGATAGTATTCAAAAACAATTTTAAAATTTCCAAATGTTTCTTAAAAAATAATTTCTGTTACAGATAAGTTTGCAAAACCCTTCTCATCTTTGGTGTTGAGAATCTGCCTGCATTGTTTCAACCTACAGCTTGGTTTTAAAACTTCGATTTACTTGCCTAAAACTGCCTAATTTTTAATAATTTGACCCGGGATTACCATTTCATCAGAGTGGACGTATTATTGACCATCAATGAGAGGGATTATCAGAGGCTCTACAAACCAGGAAGAAGAGTGTATACATGTCAATTGGGATTTGTTCTGTAAATTGGACTAAAATATACTTTTTAAAAATTGTATTGCTTTGACCAATGATGTAATCTCTATTTGACACACTCCCAAAGAAAGGTAAGCTTTATTTAGCAATAATAGTCATGAGTGAAAAAACAGAAAAAACAGCGTGTGAGGTTCTACTCCAAAAAATGGCTCCAGAGTAGTTTGGAGAAATTTTAAGATGCTGTTTATAATGGAATGAATACAGTTTGGACATGCATTTGAACACTTCCAATTAAATTTAGCTTTGGCACAGCTTACCAGTATGAACTACCCTGTCACTGTATTTGTCTACCAGGAACCACCTTACATTCCAAGTCTCACCGATGAACCATATAGGCTGACAAGCTATCAACAATGGCTTGTATTGCTGCAGCCTAATGCCATCTTTCCTCAGAGCACAAGAAAAACCCTTTCACTCTTCCTACAAGCAGGATATTTCAATACGCATAAAGTCATTTTCAAATGAGGGCTTGCTTAGTAAACATTTCATTTCCCTAGATCGTTTTTTTAATTAAAAACGAAACAGAAATAAAAACAATGGGTTCAACTTGAGTGTACATACATGCAAGAGGGCGAGAGATGCAGACTAAATGCAGATGGTTTATAATTCATAATAAAATAATCCTTGCATTTGATATAAAAGCTTTTACATCAGAAGGATGTCTCAAATAGTTTCACATGATTCATTGTGAACTGTGACTGTATTTTTGTAGGCAAACGCCTGTAGGACGTATACAAGTCAGGACTGAAGCATGGAAAAGAAGCCCATACATATTAAAATGTACATGATTGGGAGTAAATATTATAATTTCCATAAAAGTGATTTTAAATTCATATTTTCCAGACCAACTGTTCATTAAATCATTAAATATATTGTGCTGGGCAGTGAAGCAAAATCCCAGACAGAACGCCTACACAAAATTCTAAAATTAATTATGCGCACTAAATTTAATTGGAAGTGTTCAAATGCATGTCCAAACTGTATTCATTCCATTATAAACAGCATCTTAAAATTTATACTGCTGAGACTAAAGGATGGTTTGCCAAATGTGGGAACACAGATGGTCTAAGGGGCTATACTAAAGTTGCAACCAACCCCAGGGGCTATTTTCATGTTTACCATTTCTCTTGTCAAGCTGCGCATAAAAAAATACATGCTACTATCTTTTACCAACACTCCCACAGTCGATCACGATTAGGCTTTTCCTGTATTCTCTGATATTTAGTTGTTTTCTTTTGAATAACTCGAAAAGGCCAAAACAAAGTACTGTATGGAAACAGTGAAAGCGGGTTTTACACATTTGTGCTCTCCCACATACGTACACACACAGAAACACCCACCCAAGGTTATCACATTACATATTCAAAGAACTTAGTATTTTACCCTTTCCCTCATGTGAGAATGCTCTCACACACCATGCACATTTATGTGCCTCCCCACCTCATGTGCTGACAGCATCATCATCCAAGGATACACACCCCACCTCACCGAGCCAGTCTGGAACCTTGGCGTCTTGTTTGACCCTCATATTCTTTCTACCCCACATCAGTGTCATGACCTGCTCTGCCTTCCCCCACCTCTGTAACATCATTCGGCATTGCCATTGTCTCACTCCGCAGGCTGCCGAAACCTTCATTCACGCATTCATAATATCTATGCTTGACTATGCAAACTCCCTGCTTGTAGACCTCCCCAATTCCTCCCTCGATAGGCTGCAGATCATCCAGAATTCTGCAGCCCCTGTCCTCCTCCGCACCAGGCTCCGTGATCATATCACTTCCATCCTTGCCCGACTCCACTGGCTAACCATCACACAGAGGATACAGTTCAAGATCCTGATCCTCACCTTCAAAGCCCTCCATCGCCTTGCTCTCCGCTATCTCTGTGACCTCCTAAACCCCTACCAGCCTGCTCGCTCCCTCCGCTCAGCGGGATCTGGCCTGCTTCACATCCCCAGCTCCCCCATTGGTGGGCGGGCTGTCAGCCACTCTTCCCCCACCCTCTGGAACTCCATCCCACAGTTTGTCTGCTTCGCCCCCTCCCTTGCCTTCAAGAACTGTATCAATACCTTCATCTTCGACCATGCCTCCGGTCACCCTCCTTCCCTCCACCTTACCCGATCCCCAGCTCGGGTCCAAAACACTGATTGTCCAGTGACTTGGGACATCCTCCTGACATGAAAGGCGTTATACAAATGTAATTTTGTTGTGTTTTTGCTTTTGGTCTTGAGCACCTCCCTCCCACTCCTGCCTATTCATCAGATGGCTGTCTCACATCGCAATCACACCACACATTTGTGTAGTTTCTCAAATATGCCTATTTATTTCTACCCCACCCACACAGTTTTATCATGCCAGGTTTTGGAAAAACAAACAAATTTTCTTGATTTAAGTGTCAGCATTCCTGCAAAAAACCAAGGTACTGAATGGGTGTCAGTTTGGCGCAGTGATAGCACTCTCACCTCTGAGTCAGAAGGTTGTGGGTTCCAGTCCCATGTCAGGACTTGGAACTCATTGTCTAAGCTGACACTAGAAGGCAATGCTGAGGGCGTGTTGCATTGTCGGAGGTACCATCGTTCAGATGAGATGTGAAACTGAGGTCCTATATATCTATTCAGGTGGATGTTAAAAGATCCCATGGCGGTATTCGAAAAAGTGATGGGTGGTTTGTGAGATACCGGGCAGCTGTGTTTGCCTACAAATACATAGCCGCTCCATTTCACAGTAAATCCTGTGAAGCGCTTTGGGACATCTGATGTGATAAGGCACTACACCAAATGCAAGCATTATTATTTATGTGCCCGGCACTAGACAAATTGATGTAGCTTAGTTTTCATTTCTGTTAAGTCAATTGACTTGCAGCTTTCCACATTCTGATCCAGGTTATATTATAAAACTAAATTTATGTAGAACATCATAATAACTTATTTTCAGACAAAGTCCATGGTCACACAATCCAAGACAACAGTAATCAAATTGACTAGCATTGTAAAAAAAACTAATCTTCGCACAACATGAACAAAGAACACTCGATTAGGGCAATAAATATCTAAATGCTCCCAGGAAACTCTTTAACAAATTACTTATTTGTATCGATTAAAGAAATATATTATAGAATAAAAGTGAGCCAATTAACAAATAAATAACCTAGTAAAATGACCACACCTTCCTTCAACTGTTCTGAGCAGGTTGTTCGGACCACCACACCACAGAATATGGAATGCTGAGATACAGCCTGTCTTATTAACCAGTTAGTTGATTTTTCAATGGATGTGATGCTGCTGTAGGGTGAGAAATCTAAATGGGTGCTGTCTACATGCCAATATTGCACACCCTCTTACACTCAGCTCAGAGAACCAGTCCTGGGTTGGACAGGACAGCTCTCTTCTAGCACTGCAGTGGAGTGTCTGTCTGCTTTGACCATGAGCACAAAGTCCCAACATGAGGCTTGAACCTGCAAGCTTCTAACTGAGAGGCACTACCAATTGATCCAATCTGATATTCTTTCAATAGGATGAAACTTGGAAGGAATTTTGTGATGCAGAACATTGCTGGGAGTATCTCTTTCTAGCAAACTGAATGCTTATAATGAGCTTGAGTCCTAACCACAAGCCAATCTAAAAATCTTTTCAGACATATTTCATGAGTATTAGAATCCTTCAATTGACTGAAGTTAAGGATGAACTAAGGCACAGTCACACCTTCTAAAGCAACACAAACCTCAACCAACTTAGGATTTGAAAGTGAACACACTTTCCACAATTAGATATGGATATTTTATGTTGATAATTAAAAAAACAATTTTGGTTTGTTAAATAAGTACACGTTCACAAAGTTTGTTTGTACTGACACCAGCATGGGCTCCTGCTGGCACTGGGTGGGGGGAGGAGAACAGAGATATGCTTCCAGAATACGGTCAATCCAAAGCAGGCTAAGGAAAGACCATATGACTGACATGGTTCTTGAAAGTCACCAATCTCTTAAA